TTGCGAGTTTTCTTGGGATAATAGGCTACTCGCTGACATGCAGTTTTTAAACGACCGACTATTTAGGTGCAAAAGTGACAACAATACATTCTTATGGAGCGGATTGGCCGACTATTTGATTGCATTGTAATAGCCGGCCGACTAAAAATTGCATGTCTTAGCATAGGCTTAATGTTTTGAATTTCCCTTTACAGTATCCAAACTATTTAAAAATGTAATTGGGAGAATTCAATGTGTCTTGTTTTTTCAAATTAATATATTTTTTTAAATACGCGATAATTGTTTTGAGTAGTTTATTTAAGAAGTTTCTCTATTTAAATTCGGACCACCCTGTATATTGAAAAATTAAAATTTTCATTGTACACGGTGTCCCACTAAGAATAGCTCTCGGCTGTATCTCAGAAAGTATTAGTCGTAGAACTTGCGGAAAAAATATTTATAACTAATAAGACCATGAGAAATTGCTGGAAATTATTTTCAAGTTTGTAGGACGGCCGCTGGAGGGCGTAACTGCTATGGAAAATAACAAAATGGAATTTTTAAGAAATTTTGCCTATAGATACGATGTACTATAAATAATAGCTTCTTTTTTGTTAGAACCATTTTCCCCTATCTGCTAAAATAAAGTGGTGGGGGAGGTTAGATCTGTTTTTATTTAAATATTAATAACTCCGGACTGGATGATCGGAATTCAACAAGCGAGGGCTCGTTTAAAAGAGCGTTTCTTACTCTATATTGTACCATATAAACAATAATAATAAGCTTTTGAACGTAGACGCTAGGGGGCGTTCTCTTACAATTTAACAAACATTGCGCGTTTTTTCAAAAAAATTAAATGCGATAGTATATGTAATTTTAGCTGATAGTAAAGAGTAATAAAAGCTTAACAAGTCAGCGAAAACCGCATCTTGATATCTTTTTTCAAACCAAAGTTATTAGCAAAATTATAATAAATACGAAAATATATGCCCTTAATTACCTTATTTTTCTAATACGGTATCACTAGCCCTCTTGATTATGATCATTCTAATAGAAAATAATATAAAAAAGATTATTTTATTCAAAAAATCGACAATGAACCAGAAAACCATAATACTAGATGTATTAATATCTAATAATTAAGATACCAATGACGGTGGACAAGAAACGACACCTCAGTGAATTCATGGTAGGCTTTGGAAAAAAGTTGCTTTTAAACGGACAGTTTAAACATCAAAATGTTATTATATCAACATTTTGATAGTCTCTGCAGTCTTTTTTTTGTCTTTTGATTACTTTTCTAAAAATGCCTTTCTTCAACAGAGAAAAAACGCTGCTAAGACTATCAAAATGTTAATCTAATAACACTTTGACGTTGATACTATTACGTCAAAAGCATCTTTTTTCCAAAGCCTACCATAACTTCACTGAGGCGTCTTTTCTTATTAATTGTCATTGATATCTTAATTATTACACTCAGGTGCAAAAAAACGCAATGGAGACATTTTTGGTCAAATTTAAAGTGTTATATTTTTGCCCTATTTTCATGAATGTAATTATATGTAATTATATATGCAAACTGTATGTAATTATATCAACTTTAATTCGTAAACTCAGTTTTTTATAAACTTTGGTATTTGGCTATTATACAAGGTTAATCGAGGGATTGTTTTTTTACCCTAACTTTAGAACACCCTGTGCAATAATTTCGTGTGTAGAGTTTCCTAAAATATAATTTTATGGTCAGAACCATGTCTCCTGAGCATTTTGTTTTTTGGATCATGTCAATACATGCCATAGTTAATTTTTAAGAGCGAAATGAACTTGCCACCAATAATTTGCAATTTTTTCAATGATCATTTCTCTTTGAAGTAATTTTTCAATATGACAAGGCCTCTTTGGTGATTATTGTGAACTATATGCTACTATGAACTGACCATCACGTTCGACGTTTGGGAAATGCTTGGCAGGAGGGTTAGAGGTTAGAGGTCGCGAAGCGCTACCAGCTTCATTAAATGAACTTCGTTAGGTTCTTAAAGAAGTATGAGAAAGCAGAACGCAATATGGTATACATATGTAGCCTCAATGACAGTATGATCGAACGTATACAGGTAACTATATCAGCCAAGGGAGGTTATACAAAGTATTAGGGTATTTTTTACAATTTTTTTTCTGTTTGTATACTTGAGTATTACAAATGTTTTCTTTCATATCGTTGGTTATGTTATCGTTATTAATGTTTATTAAAACCAGGACAGTTTCGTTAGTCTTTAACGTTTTTTTTAAATTTAGTATAGAGTATCCAATGCAGCGTAATACGAAGTTGCGACAATAGTCACCAAAACCATCTCGTCATATTAAAAAATGACATCCAAAAGTAATGATAATTAAAAAAATTGCAATTTGATCGTGATCAGTTCATTTCGTTCTTAAAAATTAACCAAAGTATGTATTGACATGAATCAAAAAACAAAATGCTCAGGTGTCATGGTTCTGGCCGTAAAATTATATTTTAGGAAAATTTGCACACGAAATTATTGCACAGGGTGTTTTAAAGTTAAGGTAAAAAAACAATCCCCCGATTAACCTTGTATAATATGCCAAATACTAAAGTTTATAAAAAACTTAGTTTACGAATTAAAGTTGATATAATAATATACAGTTTGCTAAAAAAATCATGAAAATAGGGCTAAATATAACAAAAATATAACAGTTTAAATTTGACCAAAATTTTCTCCATTGCGTTTTTTTTTGCATCGAGTGTAGATATTAATAGATCTGGTGTTATGGTATTCTGGTATATTGTCGATTTTAGAATAATCTAATCATTTCTATATTTTTTGTCAGAATTTTCATAATCAAGAGGGCTAGTATACCGTGTTAGAAAAATAAGGTAATTAAGGGCTTATATTATCATATTTACTATAATTTTGTTAATAACTTTGGTTTGAAAAAAGATATCAAGATGCGGTTTTCGCTGACTTGTTAAGCTTTTATTACTCTTTACTATCAGCTAAAATTACATATACTATCGCATTTAATTTTTTTGAAAAAACGCGCAATGTTTGTTAAATTGTAAGAGAACGTCCCCTAGCGTCTATGTTCAAAAACTTTTTATTATACCTTATACGGTACAATATAGAGTAAGAAACGCTCTTTTAAACGAGCCCTGGCTTGTTGGATTCCGATCATCCAGTCCGGAGTTATTAATATTTAAATAAAAACAGATCTAACCTCCCCCCACCACTTTATTTTGGTAGATAGGGGAAAATGGCTCTAACAAAAAATATTCAAAATTTACTGAATATTATGAAGCTATTACTTATAGTACACCTGATCTAGGCAAAATTGTGTAAAAACTCAATTTTCTTATTTTTTGTTTCAGTTGCGCCCCTTAGCGGTTGTTCTACAAACTTGAAAATAATTTCCAGCAATTTCTCATACCCTCTTTAGTTATAAATATTTTTTTCCGCAGGCCCTACGGCTAATACTTTCCGAGATACAGCCGAGAGCTATTCTTAGTGGGACACCCTGTACATATATATATTGTTTCGTTCTTCAAAATTTTCATTTGTATTTAATTACTTAAACTGCTATTTATTTAACATTTTCCTATGTAGAAAGTGCCTTTAGTAAAAATAATTTAAAAAGTGCAAGACTTGCAAGAGTAAACATTTTAAACTGTACAAAACAATTAAAAAACATTCATAAACATAAGATTATTTATTGGTACAATGTTTTTTTTTTATAAAGTTCTTCATAGTAGACAAAATAAAGGATGCCCGAATTTTCTTCATCTGGAGCTATATTAGTTTTTTCAAACCCGGCACTTCAAGCATCAAAACGTTTAATAAGTCACTAGGTTCCTTAATAACTTTTTCTATAGTATATTTAACTCTTGCTATGATTTCATTATATTGCAAAAATGAAAAATTTATTTGTACTATTACATTTTTGCGAGAGCCTATTTTGTTTTAATTTTTCATAGAAAATTTCTTCAATTTACGGAAAATTCCCCACAGCACATTTTCAACGATATCAAAACAATTATACATAACCACAAAAAACGAAGCCAATTTACGCCAGATGGATGTCACCGTTGCCAATGTTTAACCCAGTTTAACGTTATCCTTATATTGCCTATTATTCTACTTATCCGTATTTATCGTTATATTTTACAACATATGGCAACCGCGCAAACTGAATCTTCCAAATTCACTGCTATCCTCCAGGGAATGCTAGCAGCTAGCATTCACTAGTAAAAGTTGGTTTCAAAAATAGCTGTTGAACTTTTACTAGCGTAGTCTTAGCAAATCAGTTAATGTGAGCGTTTACTAGTAATTGTTAACAATCACTGATTTCTGACTTTTACTGTAACATATAGAGATACAGCAACAGTAGCTGCGAGCGCTACGGACAGAAAATCAGTAAACTAACTTTTTAGATTTTTCTATCAATCCTGAGTCAACAGAAAATTGCTGTAAAAACTACCTTGCTGAGTTTGGAGTGATAAAAATCTAAACTGCGATAGATATTAATATCTCCGTCCTAGGAGTCACATCTTTATTATTTTTTCTCTGGGTTTAATGGTTTTATAGAGCGAAAACAATCTTGAACCGGATCAGGTTTGGAAAGTGGGTTCAGGTCTATGCTGCGTTTATTATATTTGGCTCAGCTTTGTATTTAACAACCATTTCCATCAAAATTTGATCTATTTCAAATAATTTTGAAATGAAATATAAAATAAAGTTAAAAAACTTATCACAACCCAATATTTTCCTGATAATTCTAGCAGGTAAGTACATACGTTCAGGCCGTAAGAGTCGAATTGAACTGTGAAGTGTTGTGTGAACTGAAGTTTGCACATGCTTAACTGTATGCGTAGCTAGGGTTCAATCCACGCCCCACTCTATACTGAACTTAAGTGTGTATAAACTAGACTGTTCAACCAAGTCGCTAAGTGTGGACGCCCCATTATAACTGTTTTTGATTTTGGGTCGTATATAGTATTATTTTTTTAGAACCAGATGCGAAGAAGGGTCCTGGTTTAGGACCACCGCAAATGGGCAGACCCCCCCAGGTCGCATTACCAATGGGGGGACCAATAGGCAACGGGCCACCCGGCACCGAGGATATGAAGGCTCCAGGACCGGCCCCTGGTGACAAAATGGGCATGGGAATGCGTAAGTTTTCTATAATACCGAAATAAAATCTTATGGCAGTCTTTATTTTAATATATTAGGTTTAGAAAATTAAAATAAGTTAAGGGATAATAGAAATTATATTTATTATTTATTGTGTTGAAATATTTACTTATTAGACTGTTTTCCCTTATTTTTTAAAAATTCTGTATTAATATTTAAAAAATGCATTGATTAACACAAATCTTATGAATATTTAGGTAATCCATTAGGTATGGGTGGTCCTCCAGGAGGCCAAGGTGGAAGAAATAGCCTCGAAATTATGATCCCAGGTCCAAAAGTGGGGCTTATTATTGGCAAAGGTGGAGAAACTATTAAACAGCTCCAGGAGAAAAGTGGAGCCAAGATGGTTGTTATACAGGTAACATAGTTTGCATACATTATATTTTGATCAAATCAATATACAATTTTCTGTGTTTAACAAAATAGTTTAAATGCTTAAATAATAATAATAGCTCCCGTATATAACGTTTAACGCCTTGGGAGTAGCAAGGTACAAAGGTTTAAATACTTCTGAGCTTGTTCAGTTTGCGGATATTTGTTTATAGTACTTCGGGAGAATGCAATGTTGCCCAACACAACCTCCTATGTTATCCACATTTTTTAAGTTATCAGTAGACATTTAAATTTAAAAATATTTAAAAAAACAAACAATACTTAGATTAATCTTATTCATTGTTGATGTTTTACTCATTGTAGATTACTATTAGGTATAGTGCAACGTCTACTATTTTAAATACCTTTTTTACAGTTTAGTAAATTGAAATAATGAAACACTAAATAATGAACAATTAAGGTACGCGCACACTGACCCGAGCCGCACGCGCCGCATCGACCTAAGAAAAATATTGTTTGTGATATTTTCAATGAAGGTGCGCACTCTAGTCAGAGCCGCATCGCTTCATTTAATCTATGTTATCTTGGGTCGTCGCGGCGCGTGCGGTTCTGGTCAGTGTACGCGTACCATTATAGCAGCTTTTTTTCGCCATATTACCAAATATTTTTTTTTAATAATTACCAAATATAACAACAAACTTGTTTGTGAATGCCCAATTTGTTTCAATTGTTTAGAGCCTTCTAGAGTTTAAGGGTATAGACAGCAACTGTCCTGGTAGAATCTTGTATTGGTTGTCTGTAATTGTTGATTTGCTGCTACAATCATGTTTCATTCTATTTTTTATTATACAAATTCAAAATAATGTTTATTACAGTTGAGAGTTACAGTTGAATTAATGTTAATTACCTGCATATTTATCATAGTTTATTTTCCTAGATCATAATTTCAAGGTTAATGTCATATATCATCTTGGTAATATTAAGATAAGTGAGTGTGAATTAATAAATATAATAATGTACTTATAATTTAAATATTTATGTACTAATTCAACATAATATATCAAGTTTGAATAAATATCAGAGTGAAATGGTTGTCAAGTGGTAGAGAGAGTACGACAGTATATGACGTAACGTTGAACGATCGCTGAATATTATATAGAGATATAGATTAATTGAATCTTGTCATTCGATTTACTCAACAGAATCATAATGTCCAAATTATTTAAACGTTTTTTGAGTATTTTAATATTTTTTCCAATAAAAAACTATTAGATAATTATTTTTGTTAATTTAAAAAAACTGATAAATCGTTCTGTTACAGGATGGCCCTGCTCAAGAGCTAGAAAAACCTTTGGTTATTAGCGGGGATCCTCAGAAAATAGAGTATGCAAAGCAATTGGTTTATGATTTAATTGCAGAAAAGGAAATGAAGAGTTTCAATAATAGAGGGGGAGGTGGTGGTGGACGAGGACGTAATGATAATAGGTAAAAACATTATTTACTATTGTTGAGTCATTGTATAGAATTGTTAATTTTTACTTGTTGAAATTTATTCGCAGAGCTGGTGGTGATGGCTACAGCGACTATGGCGGAGGCGGAGGCGGCGATTTTGAAGTTTTGGTGCCCAAGGCTGCGGTAGGAGTGGTTATAGGCAAGGGTGGCGATATGATAAAGAAAATACAAGCTGAGACTGGTTGCAGGGTGCAGTTCCAACAGGCCAGGGATGAGGGACCTGGCGATAGAAGGTGTTCTTTGAATGGAAACCCTAAACAAGTTGATCATGTAAGCAACTTATTCCTTTTGATATAAAATTACTGTAATCTGTTAACTCACAGAGGTAATGCTGCTCAATTTTGAACTAAAATAAGGGATTATATACAGTAGAACTTTACTAATTCGGACACGCGCTAAATGGGTTAGTCCAGTAGTTCGCCGTCTCTTATCAGCCCGACAATTTTGATATTTTTACCTCTATTCTGGATGCCAACAAAATTCAAGTATTTTATTATTATATTTAAGTATTTTAGTTTTTTGCTAGTGCAGTTATTGAGACTATAAAAAACTCAGGTACGAGGTCTGTGGGATGTAACGCTATTTCGGGTAGTAAAAAATAAGTGAAAAAGAATTACAAATACAAATACAAATACTTTATTGCCGACAAAATGATCTTCCCGATCACAAAGCAACGTCACAGAACAGAGTATATTATCCCATTACAGAGTATATTATCTTAGAACATTAAAACATAGTAATAAATGCACAAAAATAACAATAATAAAAATTCAACAATTTCAGACAAAGGACATAATTAAAATTCAAAGTTAAAGCTATAAAAACCGCGTGTGTGTAAAAATTCCAACACCGACCCCCTAAAGTGGTAATCGCTACCTACAGCCCCAATATTTGCTGGGAGCATTTCAAAGGCCTTGACCGCCCTGTAGCCTGGGCCCCTCCGAAAAAAAGACGAGCTATGCAAAGGTATGCTTAAATCATCCCGCCCCCTGGTAATCCGTTCCATATCTGGACCATAGTGACTCGAGTTCGTAGCAAAAAGGGCGGAATGCTTTTTAACGAACATCACTAGGGACAGAAAATATAAAGAGGGCACAGTCAGGACATGAATTTTTGCAAAATATGGCCTACAAGATGTCCTCGGATGCAAGCCGAACATACACCTGATCATTCTCTTTTGGGCCCTGAAGATCTGCTCTGCTAGAGCCGAAGATCCCCAAAACATAACGCTATACATAATTAAGGATTGTGAAGTGGCGATGTAAAGAGTTCGAATGGTGTCCAGAGACAATTGGTCCCTTAATCTTCGTATTATCGCGCAGTTACTGTTTAATTTAGAAGTCAAAATATCTATGTGTTTTGTCCAGTGAAGCGTAGGATCAATGTAGACACCGAGAAACTTTACATAATCGGCCAGTGGTATAGACTTGTTATCACAGCTGACATACAAGGACTCGTTATCTCTGGTTTTACCAAAAGTAAGAAGTCCGGTCTTGGAATTGTTCAATTGTAGGCTATTTTTCCTACACCACTCCCGCATCGCCCCCACTGCCTGCGAACAAGCCCCAGAGAGCCCCCGCAAAACTTGGTCGGTCAACACCAGAGAGGTGTCGTCTGCATACTGGCAAACCAGCCCCGAAACAAACTCCCCATGAAGATCATTCACATACAGTAGGAACAAAAGCGGTCCCAATATAGAGCCCTGTGGGACTCCCTGGCTTACTGTGACGGACTGAGAGAGGTATTTTGACTTTTCATGAATGACACAAATTAGTTGTTGACGATTAGATAAATACGATTCGAGCAACCGCGCGGCAACTCCCCTTATTCCATATATATTCAACTTATTTAACAGGACGCCATGATTCAAGATGTCGAAAGCCTTGGATAAATCAAAGAATATACCTGCTACCTCCTCACCTCTGTCGACCCTTTCAATAATAAAATTCAGCACATTATATATTGCCAGGTGGCATGACTTTTTTGGCCTAAACCCATATTGAGTATCCGATAATATACTATTTCGATCCAAAAAAGATGCAAGTCTATCACAAAGAGCCCTCTCAAACACTTTTGAAAAAGATGACAGAAGTGACACTGGACGGTAATTGTTCATGAGACAAGCATTACCCCCTTTAAGGACCGGGATAAGTTTAGCAACCTTCAAGGCTGAAGGAAAAACCCCAGATGAGAAGGGTACGTTTATGAGTGCTGCAAGAGGTGTACATATGAAGGAGGCAATGCGTTTTAACAGAAATACCGGAATATCATCCAGACCTGCGGAATGCTTGTTTGGAAGATTCATTAGAATGTAAAAATTTCCTGTGAATTAACAGGATTGAGAAAAATTGTGGGTGTAATGGATTCACCAACATCCACATAAGTATCGTTGTAAGAAAAGGGGAGGTTGAAGTGTTTACTAAACAGTTCCGCCACCGCCTTCGGCTCACGAACCTTAGTGTCCTTGTACTTTATTGAAATATCCTTATGCGAATTTGATTTATTAGTTTGCTTATTTATAATATTCCATGCAGTTTTTGATTTATTTTTTGCATTTAAAATTTTGTTCTCATTAAGACTTTTTTTATAATTAGATACATACTTTCTATATTTCTTTCTTTCTTGTTTATAACGAGAGTAAATTATTGGACTATTGGTTTGTTTGTATGTAACGTAAAGATCTTTAATATGTGCCGAGTAGTGCTTAATTTCATTATTCACCCAATCTGGGATCGCCTTCTCCCTAGCGTTACACAAAGGAAGCTTAGTTCAAATTAATAGGAGAAAATTCGGAAAAAACATTCGTACTTACTATTTACATCCAAGTACTCTTCCAAATCGGCCCAGCTCTCTTGTTCCAGATATGAACAGAAACCGAAAATGTTGGTATCATTGAAGAATCTCTTCCGCTTATAATTTACCTTGGAGTGGGAAGTAGGAGTTTGGATAGTTGTTAGTTGACCGATTCGAACTAGGCGTCGTGTTATGTTGTGACAATTTCAAATGTTAATAAAATTGCCAAAAACATGTTAACGCGTAAAAGAGAGTGTAATATGGCGTGTTTGGGTGCAATAATATTCAATAACCCAACTTTCCCGTATATGCAACTCAAAAAAACTTAAGATACTCAAGTATTAAAAAAATATTTTTAAGAAATAAATATTAATACTAGTTTCCTTCTTCAATGTTATTTAAAATTTTGATTCATTTTTAAATTTTATAAAATAATATAAAATTCTAAAATACCTCGATATTGAAAAGGAAGTAAACGTGGCAATGCCTAGCGTTCGAAACGGCATTCGTAGTTTTTTTGAGGCGTGCGGGGATTGTGATTGTAACCAGTCGTTTATATCATGTTTTAATGGCTGCTTACTTTCATGTATAAACTGGCAAATTAAGGAAGGTTAAATAAACTACAAAATAATTATTATTATCTACATATATATAAAATGCTAATGTTTATCTGTGTCGTCTCTACTGAAGTAACGACTTGCTCTAGAAAGTTGCTTTTTTTACTAAAAGATAGCTAATTGGCTCTTCTAAAAACTGCCCTCGCCGGATTTTTTGTTTTTCATTTAATTAAAAAAAAAATAAAAAGAATTTTTTCCTGATGTCGCATGTCGTGGCGGATGCGCCAGGCTTCAACTAGTTTTATATATTTTCCTGAAATAGCAAAAAAAAACATTTTTATTATCATTTGTAGTTTTTGTGTGCCAGTGTTTAAAACTCCGTACGAGGTGGTAAGTTCAGGTGATTTTTAAGTTTAATTTGAGGTAAAATTTTATGAATTTCTTAAACCGATATGATGATGTTAAGCAAATATTAATGGTTAGCTAAACATGCGGTCAAAACGTGTCTTGGTGGAGTTTGATTTACTCCTGAAATTCAATGTATCAACTATTCCAATGGTATTTCTAAAAGATTTAGTTAAAAAGTCTTTATAAAACAGCAATTTTAAAATACATTATTTAGTAATTAGTATAATAAAACGCCTGTTTTATTGATTTATTTAATGTTTTTGTTGATACTTCATAAATTTCTTTTATAATAATATAGTATTAACTAAATTTCAACAAATGAAAACATAACAAAGCAACATATGACGTTTTTTTAAGTTTTTATTAAAATGAATAATAATAATAATCATTTAGTTTTATTAGCAATTATCAGAAATTAGAAAAAAACTTGCATATCGCCATGCGTTATTTAACTAGAACATCATGTGGATGTTTTTGTCTAACAAAAACTAGCAGAATATAAGCAGCGGTCATATCCAGATCTGAGTTAAATATATAAAACAATTTTCGATATAAACCAATGGAAAATGACCGCAGCTGGGTGTCAACACCTTTCTTTTCATTGTCATTAAGGGAGTTGGGATCCAAAAATTGCACAACATCGGCATTTCATTAGCGAATGACATATATGCCATCCTTATATTGAGGACACTCAGTCATTAGCGTAACTAGCAATTTATTTTGGGGGAGGGCTACGGGGCTTAGGACTTCTGTTTTATAAAAAGTGAAGAATAATAATATTAAAATAAAAATTAATATTTAGTCAAGAGTCATAATTTAGTCAAAAATTAAGATTTTTCTGGGGGTGCCCAGTAAAACTTAGGGTGGGCCCGGCACCCTCGTAGTCCCCTGTAAATACTCCTATGCACTCAGCTCAAACGTTCAGAGTGTTTGCGCTCCAAACGCTATATTTTTTATAAAACAATATAACAAGGCTTTAAAATAAAATAAAATAATCTTTATTACATGCACAAACAAAAGAGTACATATAAAGGTGGAAAGTACCGCAAAGCGTATTTTAATAATTTTAATTTATTAATTTTTATAATGGTAGGTAATTAATTTTCTTTGTGGCTCTATGTGAGAGCCTTTTCCAAAAAATTAAGCAGTTTTGTTGATTTATCATATAGGTATTAAATTACAAGCCAAACCAAACCAAACCAAACCAAACATTTTTTTGCTCTTATTTCACTTTTTTGCTTTTTATCTTCGGATTTTAAAATTTGTCACATGTTAAATAATACTATAATTTAAATTTAATCAATATTTGGGGCCTTTCCAGATGCTTTGGGTACTGATTTTGTGGTAGAAGTTAAGTGCCCTATCAGTAATAAAACCCTTAAAAATTATATTAACAAAGGAGAAATAACAAAAAAATGCAATGGTCAAGTTCAGCTGCAAATGTTAGCTACTGGGATGCAAAAAGCATTATTTTGTGTGGCAGAGCCTGATTTTGAAACAACAAAGAACGTTCAAATTATTTGGGTTAACTATGATGAGGAATGTTTAAAATCGTGGTTGGAAAATTGCATGGATTTTTATAAGAATAATATTCTTAATAAAATTTGTACTTGAATAATTATAATTTTTTATTGTTAACAACACATACAAAATAGTTTATTTTTTCAAAAAAAATGCCTTGAAAGTTTTTACAATGCAAATTATCCTAGTAATACAAAAAACCAGTCTATAAAAAGAAACATAAATGAAATTTTAAGCATAAGTATCTAAACTATTACCCTAATACCTATAGTACCTACCTCCTAAAAAATAATATAATATATTACATAAACACTACAACAAAAATAATTTCAAAAGTGATTTTTTTACTTTACTTAATAATTGGGCTTTGTAAATTAATTAACGCACAACAAATAGTAATTACAGAATCTGTATGGCCAATAAGGTGATGATCAATAACAGCATGGGGTTTTAAAAAAGATAATTCTCTTAAACGCTTAATTACCCTTTCTATGTGGATCCTTAAGCTTGCAATTCTTTTCGATTCTATAACCTCTTCTTTTAAGAGTCTGCTAGTTGATGAAACTGAAGGTGGTCGAACTAATTTGCATTTTTTTTCTGCTAACATCCTATCTACATGTTTGAAACCTCTATCAGCCATTACATGACAATTTTCTGGAAGCTCTTTTAAAAAATTGCACTGTTCCAAAATTGTCATGTCACTAGTCCTACCACCATAACCTGTGGATACAAAATTTACAAAACCATCTGGTGTGCACGAAATTAAATATTTAATTGTGTTGCCCTTTTTATATTCTGACCATGTTAGGACTTGTTTTAAACTGTCAGTAGGCTTTTGAATTTGAATTTCTAAACAATCTATTATAGATTGTACCTCATTATATCGGATTCTAAATGGAATAGGGAGGCACACTTTTATTATGTCTGGCTTTGGCCAAAAAACTAATGTTTTTAAATAAAATTCAATTTTTGGAATAGTTTTTTTTTAAATTGTTGAAGCTCTACTACCTGATATACCAAACTGATCACCTAAACGCATGAACGAATCATTTAACTTAATTTTCATTAAACTCAACAAAACGTCTGCCTTTTTTAAATTTGCTTTTACAATTAGCTTGTTTAATACACTATTGAACCACTGTTTTGGAATACCTATGTAGCGTTTAGGATTTTTCTCAATTAATTTAATAGTATATTCACAAGTAGCTTGTTGCTCTAACTCTTTCAATAAGTCCTTATTTTTATCTTTACTAATGGCATCACTACTGGGAACAAACTCTGAAGTACTAGGTTTAATGTTTTCTTTACTTGTAACACTGACAGAACTTTCCCGTAAACAAAGTATCTGTTTACTGACTGATGGTGGTGGACATTTAAGAGGTGATGTAGCAGTGTCACATTTTAAAGATAAACTAGATGTGTCTATCTTAACATGGCGAGATTTAGGAGGGATATTACACATTACTGAAAAATGTTTCATTTTTGGTGACCACTACTGGAAAAATATTTTTGTTCAATATGTGTTTGAACCCCAATAGAGTAGGAATGACACTTGACCTGAATGCCAATAGTGCGCTGTCTTGTTGTGGATCCTGAAGTGGATGGTAAATTTTCATCAAACTCGGTATCACGTATCCGTCTCTTCTTACATGTTTGTTCGATTGCTTCTTCCACCGGTGCTGCACCTTCGTCTTCAACCTCACATTTTAAATTTAAATGTGGTTTGCTGCCTTTTAAATATATGAGGAATAACATGTTTTTTTTTAACTAAAACCAGTCCTCCAACCAGCTTGTACCTCATATAATTTTCTATATCTTCTGTAACCTAAAACAAAGGTACAAGGTAAATAAAAATCATTTTTATAAATGCATTTTAAAGTAGATATAAAATTAATTGTAAAATAAAACTTAAGGAACTTACGTTGAAATGATCTTCACAGCAAAATCTCGTACTTTTGCTGACATATTGTTGTCTTGCCGCTTCAAACCATGCTCTTCGACGGCTTTCATCCAAAGGAACAGTTATAAAAACTTTTTCTGGAGAGCCTTCAGAGTTATTTAGACAGCCCTTTACAAAACAAACTTTAACACCCTTCATTACAAAAATAATAAAGAGGGTACAATAAAACAAAATTGAAAACAAGTATTTAACGCCAAACGCAAAATGTACAAAATACTTGAAAATACAAATATAACCTCGAACCCTCGAACGCCTCGAACCACTGCCATCTCTAATAGATCAGTCGAGCACGGACTTTTGTGTACTTCATCAGCTGTTCATAGTTAGATATTCGGTTAGATTCTGTATTCATATTTTGTCGGTTAATTTTTGATATTATTTGTTATTGTAGTGCAAAAAACTAATTATTTTAGTGTTTAAGTGACATAAACTACTACCAGATATATGGTCACTCTGTTTCTCATAAAAAAAAAAACACGAAATATAAAAGGTTTTATTAAAGTTTTATATTTATCATAATTTTTGTGTATGTTTTTTAAGACTCTAACAATTCATCAATAAAGCGTAAGTGGAATGTGTTTTTGGTGCTATGCCTCATTTTTGTTGTGTTCCTGATTGCAGGGATTATTATACTAGGCAGCCTAAAGTGTCCGGAAGAGCAAGAAAAGTGGGTATGAGTTATAAATCAAGATAATTCTATTGAAAATATCTTTAATAAATTTAAAAATATTCTCCCAGGCTGATATTAAAGAAAACTGGACAATTATATTTATTTTATCCATATTGTGGCATCTCCACTCCCAAGTGTTGTTGGTTCAGCTTCGATAGATAGTTTTTTAGATAGATAGTTGATTATTTATAATACCAAATTAATATCAAATATTTAAGTGATGGCTGAATACAATTTGAATAAAATAACAATAAAACTGGTATATTTACAATACAAAATCAAGTTTTAAGGATAAAGGTGTTTCAATTATTATATTTAATAAAAAAAAATCATATTTCTTTTTTTTTAATTGGTCTAATGTTATTTACATTTTATGTAAGAATTATACTGTATCATCGAAAAAAAAAAACGGCGTCTAGATGGCTTGGAAATGAACATCGATGACATTCCCTAAATAATATTACATATAAAATGACTGCGATCTTTATTTAATAGCCAACAATGACGCCTTTTTTTCGATGATATTGTATTATTTGCAAATATAATTTTTCGAACATTGATACTTGCAAAATATACATATAAATTTTGTGAATGCAAATAATAACACATCACTAGTAGATATTGAATGTTTTTGGGTATTAAATTAGATCGATTTTCACACCGTAAAATTGAAAATATATTTTACATTTTATCCATTATTTTATGTACGCATTTATTATTTGTATATTGTAAAACATTTGCTGCATTTGTATGGTTCATAGTCAATCAAAGTATCCGTAGTCTCTAACTAGCGTGACGTCATAATTCTCGATCCGAGGCTGTTCTATTAGAGACGGCATTGCTCGAACATAATATTATCTCGCGCCCTCTGTCAACTATTCAGTCAAATACTAATAGGTGACGTCACAATTTTCTACGCGTCATTTCAAACCAGTGAAATTTGTATTGAATTTGGTTTATTATTTATTCCTTAATTGTAACTTTGTTGCATTTCTTTTTCTATTGAGGGAGTATTTTTTAATCACTTCAATTGAATTTTATATTAAAAATAACAAAAATTTACTATGGTTAAACACCGGATTACGAATGCCCTGCCAGACTCACAAGACAGGTAGTTAAATGAGGAGACGAAGCGGCATCGGCACGGCCGTATGAATTTAGCGCGCCTGCCGAGCGTTTGACGAGTCTGGCAAGGCTTTCGGGATGTTCCACATTAGCTAGGCTATTTGCAGCTGTAACTTATAATATAAACTATCATCCCACAAATTTGAATTGACTCTGAAAGGAAGTTCTTAAACGTAAACCATTTTAATTTCTCCTTTTTTGATTTTGAATTTCAGGCCCGCCAAAGGATCGAAGAACTGATCGACAGCGTGATGCAGCGTGACGGTGGCCACGACGGTCCCATGGGCGGTGGCCACGCGGGCGGAAGGGGAGGCCGTGGCGGCGGTAGAGGAGGCCGGGGCGGCGGAAGAGGCGGCGGGCACTTTGGTGGCGACCGCAACGGTGGCGGAGGCGACTACGGCGGCGCGGGAGGCTGGAACGACCGGGGCGGCCCTGGGCCCCAGCAGGAGGTGTCTTTTACAGTGCCGGCTAATAAGTGTGGCGTCATTATCGGACGAGGTAAGTGAATAAGATTTTCCACATTAAAAATTAAGCATGCCATTTCAACTTGAAACCTCCGATCTAGTGTGTACCAGTTAGTACAGGATCGGGCTGCAGGGTGCAATCAATCAAATCGGTGTCTATCAAAAAATTGCCGCAACTATGTAACGATCCACTCACTTTTTCGAGCCATCCTGTAGAAGTTAAAATATTTTCCTGAAATACATCCTGATATACAGGGTGGTCCGAATTGTATTCCGGAAACTTCGGCAGCATATTCTGCAGATAAAAATAAGTAAAAAAGTTCGTATAAATGTATGTCCTAAAATGCTTAGTTTCGGAGATACAGGGTGTAGAAGTTTCATTTTTATTTCGATTTTTTTAAATAATTTCTGAATTAAAGTCAATATTTGGATGAAAATTTGTGTCTGGGAGTTTTTTTACATGAGAAATTTGATTTTGATGTCAATATGACTCCTACTTGTAGAGGGCGCCACCTACATGTTTTTTAACTGATTTGGAGAGTAATAACTTTTTGTCCGTACCTGTATAAAACTACTGAGTGAAAAAATATACATTTCTGTGACTTTCTACGTAAAAAATGTCTCTTAGTAAAAATCGCTACGAGCAACCGTTCTCAAAATATTTAGAATGGAAATAGTCAATACATATCATTATTGACAAAAAATAAACACGGTGAGTAGATAGGTATTTAACTGAAATAATAAATTTAGGAAATATTTATTTTTTTAAATTAATCATATATTTTTCAGCGAAAAAATTATGATAAAACAGTTTCTATTGAACTTTTTGGCACAAAACTGTTCAAATTTATGATTTCAGCTTAATAACTATTTAGTCAACATGTTTAATTTATGTCAATGTTGACAGGTATTAGTAATTTCGATTCCAAATATCTCGAGAATTATTACTCGTAGCGATTTTTACCAAGAAACCTTTTTTACGTAAAAAACGTCGTAATTGTATATTTTTTACTCAGTAGTTTTATACAGGTATGGACGAAAAGTTATTATTCAAACCAATTAAAAAACATGTAGGTAGCGCCCTCTACGAGTAGGAGTCATATTGACATCAAAATCAAATTTCTCATGTCAAAAACTACCAGACACCAATTTTCATCCAAATATTAACGTTACTTCATAAATTATTTAGAAAAAAATAGAAATAAAAATGAAACTTCTCCACCCTGTATCTCCGAAGCTAAGCTTTTTAGGACATACATTTATACGAACTATTTTACTTATTATTATATGCAGAATATGATGCCGAAGTTTCCGGAATACAGTTCGGATCACCCTGTATAATTAAAGCTATTTTTATTCTGTGCATAATGTTAAAAGGGTGCCTATCAAAAAGTTCATCTCAAAAGGGCATCTGCAGCTCCTATAATAAAAAACTTAGAAATTGTATATCAGTGCCAGCCTAAAGTATACAGGGTGGTCCGAACTGTATTCCGGAAACTTCGGCAGCATATTCTTCAGATAAAAATAAGTAAAAAAGTTAGTATAAATGTATGGCAAAATAAAAACACTAAATCACCACAATACACCAAAACACTTATCTTATAAAACACTTATAAAATATATATAAATATCTTAGTTTACTAAGAGACATTTTTTACGTAAAAAATTACGAAAATGTATATTTTTTCACTCAGTAGTTTCATACAGATACAGATAAAAAGTTTTCACTCGTCAAAACAGTTAAAACCCATGTAGGTGGCGCCTCCTGCAAATAGGAGTCATATTGACATGTCAAAAAACTCCCAAACACCAATTTTCATTCAAATATTGACGTTACTTCAGAAATTATTCTGAAAAAATTGTAATAAAAATGAAACTTCTATAACCTGTGTATTTTTAATTTTGTGAAATTGTAGTTAAATCTTAAGGCTTCATTTCTCCAAGGGTATTAAAGTTTTTAATACTAAATATTTACTGAAGTTTATTTATTGATCAGTATTGTGTTGCAATAATAAAAATAATACTACCTCATACAGAGTAAAAAATGTCTATACCTATGTGGCGGATTCATCTATCCAAAAAAATCCTTTATGGGTATTTCGCCACTGCACTGCAAGAAAAATCTACAAAATAAAATAGTTATTTTTTGTAAACACTTCTGCGTTAAACCTAAACGGACGCTGCTTGTCAGAAGTTGTGTTTACAGTTATAAAAATTTGCTTAACAAAGAAAAAAATGCTTAACGTGTCGGAAAGTTTTCTCTTTCCGTCGTCGGAAGCAAAAAAATATAAAAAATCAAGAAAAAAACTATTTAAAATATTTAAATTGAACTATTCGAGAACACTTTACTTTTTAAAACAGATACGTCTACAAGAAATCGTTGACGTTCTGTTAAAATTACATTTTATATTAAGTTAAACTTCAAAATTAACAATTACTACCTGATAACAATTACTTAATAAGGTAAAACCAAAAAGCCCAAACTTTCTGTATGATTATTTTTAAATTTTACGTATGTTATGTTTATTTATGTTGTTCTTTAAAATCAAAGAAGCGATTGCCATACATTACTAACATCTACAGATGCATGAGCAATACATTTATTTTTATATATACACCTCATACAGAGTGTCTAAAAATTAATTTTAAATAATTTCTAGCTTTAAGGCGAGCGGCCACTGCGAGCGTAACTAAACTAAGCTAAGAATATGAAAACAAACGGTAATTAAATGGGAACTCCACTGGGAACGATTTTCGCTCAGTAGTCAGCTAAGTTTTCGTATTGTTTCTCCGCTATCATAGAACTAATCGCTGCGAAAAATTCGCTGGAACCTGTCACGAACTAAAACGAGCGAAACTAAACTACGATTCGAATCTTCGTTCATATATTTTCGTTTGTTTCGGTCAAGTAGCCGCTGACGCATTAAAAAGTATGGAAGCTGATTTTTGCAAATCCTATCTTCGCTTAGTTTAGTTTCGCCCGCAGTGGCCGCCCGCCTTTAAATGGCAAAAACTCGTTTGATTTAAATGGAACACCCTGTATATTTTATGAGAATTAGATGCGCAATTTAATTGTCTATCAAATTGTATTATATCATTTTTTACCTGTCCCTCAAGTTTTCGTAGAACATGCCGAAGTTTCGGGGATACCGTTCGGACCACCCTGTATAGCTCATACCAAATAAACTTTTAGTTACGTGATTAAGCTTGACCAATACACATATTATGCCGACTTTTACATATTTTCTTTTAATCCAAATATTTTAATTTGGTTCCTAGATATTTTAGGAACCAAAAATGAATTAATTATAAATATATAAACAGTTATTATTTACATCAACAAAACTTAAGGGACACAAAGGGCTATTATTTCCTGTTGAAAATATTGTAGTTTTCTAGAGATTCGAGTTTTCTTGTAACGGCTGTTAAGTGCTTTGTCATCTTGTACACCTCGCGCTACAAGCGGTTCTAAAAAGAACAATTTTCGACTACAAGGTCTGCTAGTAAAAAGTTTTTAGTTTAAAGTATTACAACACAATTCACTTAAACCAAAAACTCGTAATACAAATCAAAACGTCACGAAATAAATAAATAAATGTGGCAACCTGACATTTTTTTCAGAAGATCTATTCACCTGAATCACCAGCGGGAAATTTAAATCGCTGTACTTAAACTGCCGTTAAACGGTAGCTTACTAAAATGCCGTTAATAGGTATGACATCGTTGATGTGATGCACTTGACGGCTTTATGAAATATAGGAATTTTATAAGGACTAACCAACGCTATCCACCCCACCAAATAATCAACTTAACCTCGACACTGGTAAAAAAATATGAAAAACAAAATATATAAATTAGTAAAAACCAACCAACCCCACCAAATAACCAACTAACCAATGAATTAACACCCTGCAAATAACCACGCTAACCGACCCGCCAAATAAATCACGCTATAAGCAAAAAAAAATATATATAAAAAAGTCTTGGTCTGGCGTGAGATTTGAACCACGGACAATTCGCTCACGATGCCGACGGAGTCACAGGTGCTCTTGCAAAACTGCCATAGCCAGGCGTTACTTTTCGCCGACATCAACGATGTCATAATATCTGTTAACGGCATCTTAGTAGGCTACCGTTTAACGGCAGTTTAAGTACATTGAATTTAAATTCTAGTTAGTCAGCCCGGTACCGAATATATCCATGGTTGACAACAATGAATTTATTAATCGCGCTGTCGATGGCGTAACTAAAAGTTAATTTAGTATCGATTATAATTAAGTAGTGAATTGTAGTTTGGTTTTTATCGTGCTAAAATTAACAATCCATGGAATCCGTAACATTATGCTTCATCCTTTATATTCAATGGCTGGTATCAGTAATAGCATCTTGTGACCACCATTATGTGTATATTGGTTTCAATTACTTTCGGAACAGCTTATCTATTTGAAAAGGGAAAATTTCAACTAATTTCTACTATAGTAATTTTTTTTTTACTTTTTCAGGTGGTGAGACCATAAAACAAATAAACCAGCAATCTGGAGCGTTTTGCGAACTAGACAGAAGAAGTAGTGCCAATCAGAATGAGAAAACGTTTACGATAAAGGGTGATCCCGACTGTATAGAAGCTGCTAAAAGAATAATTAGCGACAAAATACAAATGCCCATTCATTTTCTCAATATGGGAGGTGCTCCAGCTCCAATGGCCAACAACATACCAACAGTAAGTATTATTTTATTTTAGCTTTGCCAGTTAACCAGAATAGCCCATTCATAAATAACATTTTTATACTAGCTGATCTGAATAACTTCATACCGCCTGAGTGAACAGTGAAGTGTTTTTTGTCAATCTTGTGTCAATGTCTGATTGATAGAATATTTTGGAATGATTGAGACCAACCAATTGTTCTCTATATTTTTGTTTATGCATCGATTTATATATTTTCTATACAGAATGATTCAAGGCGTACACGGTACGTTAGATGTTATGGAGAACCGGTACTCCATCTGTAAATTATTTTCAGCTTTACAGTGTTTCCGCTTCATACTAAAAGTAGTAGCATCTGTCGTATTTTAAATTGAACACCAATTGTATATTATTACATTTTTCGAAACTTTTTTCATATCTCATAACTTCTCTATTATAATAACTAGTAGTGGGAACTACCGAATGAATACTATCGAAACATTCGATAGTTGCAATTCATTCGAATAATTCGATAGTTAGTAAGAAAACATTCGTTGAAAACTATTCGAATAAAAATTATCGAATAGATCCGTCATCTGCCTTGAAATATTGTATTCTAGTAATTCGGCAGCAAAAACCATTCATTTATAAAATTCATTCATTTATGAAATTCATTTATTCGTCAGGATCGATTATAATAAAATATTAACTGAATTTTAGTTGTCGCCCGGCGACGTAGGTTTCTTTCCGAGAAACCCGACAGCGGTCGGTGGCAATGCTATGAAAGAAGCCGGCATCTTTGATTTTTTGCCGAGTCAGATATAGATAAGGACACATTATTTTTTTTATTGAGGTGCTAGTATTTACACAGAAAATACATTATGAAGGGCGCTGTTGCCATATTTTGGTATTAGTTGATATTAGCAAAATATATTATTGTTTGGCTTTAGTTAGTTAGGGATAGTATGTCTATAGATTCTGCATTTTTTTTATTAATATTCTGTTGTTACACTGCAATAATACTTGTTATTTTGGATGTAGAGGAAAATGATTTTTAATGTTTTTAAGCAAAGACTGGTTTAATAAATAATAATAACAGTAATAATTTGTTATACCTATTAACAACATAATTTAAAATCATTTAATATAAATATTTTTTTTGAAGTAGTAGCAAAATATAAACAACAAATTAGATGTCAAAATTATTTATATTAGATCCTATTTAAAAATAATATAGTCTCTAAATTTTTTGTGTGTGGCAACGTTGGTTTATTAAATAATAATAATTACAGAACTAATTTGTTATATTAACAACAAATTTTAAAATCATGAAATATAAACATTTATTAATTTTCTAAGCATGCAGTGTAATGGAAGGAAAATATAAATAAAAATTAGAAATCAAAATTATTTATATTAGGTGCTTTATATTACTATTTAAAAATTATATTTACTTTTACTGACATTTACTTTAAAAAATAAATGAAATATTTCTTCGCAAAAAACTACATGTAAGAGAATTAGCATAAACAAAATACAAACATCGTTAACTTTTTTTTTAAATTGGCACGTGTAAAACTTTCATTTTAATTTTCTCAGCCCATAGTTTGAGTTCGATAACCATTTACTTAACCACATTACTTAAATATGATTAGTAAGTTCAACTAATTCATATTATTAAAACATCTAAAATACAAATATGTATTTTTAAAATTAATTGTAGTTCATCTCATCTCTCTTAAAAATTGCTACTTCTCAAAATTTCCCATTAAAAAATATACCATATACCATATAAAATTAAATAATTGACAGATCGGACTATGGAAAACCACACAAATTTTCGGAAAAATTTTGACCACCTGCACATGCACACAATAGTCAATAAATAAAATTCAAAATTAACTACTATTTTAGTATTTTAACTATTTTAATAAACGCAAAAATAGCACAGTATTTATACGGCGAAGTTATAAAAATTTGGAAGAACTAATAATGCACTGACGCATACAAAAATCAAACGAATACTAAATTTCATTTATCAAAAGCATTCGATAGTCGTGGCTCAACGATAACCATTTAGTCGCACGGCGAGGTTGTCACATATGCATTAGTATACAAATGAATGAATGATTTTATTCGAATAAAACCATTCGATAGTTGAAATCATTCATTCATTAACCATTCGATAGTCTAATTCATTCGATAGTTCCCATCGCTAATAATAACCTATACCTATACTACTAAACTAACCTATACTATATTAGTCGTATTCAGGGCAATTAAGGTGCTTCGTGGGACAAAACCCCTTAAAGCTGAATTGTTGTGGCTAAATAGCCATTGTAGTCCAGATTGACATACTAAAAGTCCCCATCCCTCCGACTGTGTAAACCACCCCAAAACTACCCTTAAAATAACAATTTTTAGTTTATGTTAAATATCTTTGATACTGTCATCTTTATTAAAAAATGCTAGTTACCAAAATTATCACTTATAAAATGGTGTATACTCCGTTTTTTTTCTCAGGTAAGATTTTGACAGACGATGACAGAAAAAAAGCAGGTGACCGTCCATACCAATCCATTTATTTAACTAAAAAAGTTTCTAATATTTTTTAAGTTAACTTTGGATGGGTTTATATATAAATCCGCCATGCGTCATCTCTTGTTTTTAACCAGTTTTATTGGTTTATTTCAAAAATTACAGATCATATTTCAATATTATTGGTTTAACTGAACGATGAATTACAAACGGACGTGTATCCCCATAGGGTGCATATTTAAATATCTCAAAAACCAAAGATTTTAAACATATTTAACCCTTATAATAAATGTCTTTTTTTGGGTCCAAGAATCCAAAAATGAAATAAAATACCTGGTGTTCCATAAGAAAAAATATAACTTTGGTATGGATCTTAGTTCTGGGACACCCTGTATATTTCAAAATAATTTTAAATTGTGCACGTTGCCTCCCCACATATACCCATAAAATATTTTATTTCTACATCTTTCCGTTTTCGTAGAACAACCGAGGCGAATGAGGTGCGCCACCTATAGCTACATGCCATATAGCAACGCGCCATATAGCAACAGCTTGCGGTAATGAGTTGTATCCATAGAGAAAGACTAATATTTAGCTTACAAAACGATCAACTTTTGATTTCTAACCACAATTTCTCTTGACGGATGAAAATCAAAGGCCAAAATGACATTCTTCGCAAATTTAGAAGTATAATTAGCGTAACAGTTAAAAATTAATTTTAAGTTAACTTTTTCTACTAATTGAAAATGACTACCACTAATTTTAACATTCTGAATGCTTACATTAAAATTAAAGAAACAAACTTCTACATTTCGCCCTTTTTCTCCCTTCATCTCCAAGTATAGTACCTAACCAAGATTTCCTGAATTTGGTGTTACACCCACACTATATACTTTAAAGCAGCATCTAATATTGTTGCTGTAGAAGGTAGTTTACATTATTTTTCTTGGAAAGTGGCGAGATTAAAAAAAAAGGAAGTTAATATAGCTTTATATTGATTGATTCACCCCATATAGATAATTCAGAAATTCGTCTCCAGTAGGTATGTTGCTATTTTTATCATTGGGATTGAAAAAGATATCTTACCTTACCCTTCTAAGTGCTGTCGTTTCTCCAACAACTTGTAAATTTTTTTCGCAAAATAAAATGGAAGATGTCATAGCGCCTTTTTAGTTTGTAGCAGTAATATACAAATAATTAACATTAAATTAAGTTCAAATAATACACATAAAATTGCTACAAACTAAAATAGGCGTTATGAAATGAATTATGAAAATTTATGAAAAAAAAACTACCATTGGGCTTCTTCAGTGGAAGAGACATAGGACTAAGATATCTGTTCGAATCCCAATGATAGAAATTATAAAAATATCATCTTACCTACTGGAGAGGAGCTTTCGTTTTTTCTAATAAGGGGCAGAAAATCAATAAAAACGCTAAGTTAGCTACTCATTGTTAAATGAAAACGCCTATCAAAACAGCGTTAATGGAACCTTCTCTTTAACACTTTCTTCATTATCCACATCAGATGCTGCTTCTCAGCATTAATTTGGAGGTGTACAACTAAATTCAAGAGTTGCTTGGTATCCACATCTTGAGGATGACAAAAACAGAGCAAAATTCTTCTGCCTGACGTTAACAGGAATCCTGAAAAAATGAGTCCTCCAAATACAGAAACTATAAACATATACAGATTTTCACTTCCGTTAATAAAAACAGTTACTCTTAAGCCCCATACTCACACTTCGCTCCTTCCTCGCGTTACTTCCTCGCGTCCCTTCGTTCAAAAATCATATATTTACTATGGGAAAATGTAGATTTTATGCGACTGTGTGTTCCTTCCTTCCTCCTTCGCCAAAATGCTACTTCGTCCATTTACTTCCTCGAAACGGTCCTTCCACGTACTGTCGGTTTTTGGGGAATTATCACGAACACAAAAAAGTATTAAAATATATAAAATATTTAAATCGATCTTGGATTTCATTCGTAGTTGATTTCTTGATTTGGCAGTACGTCTGTACAGGGTGTCGCATTTTCGTGTGGTTTGCAGGGTTTCTCGTTTATGAGTCGAAATACAAAGATACGGTTTTCACATTACGCTGTTACTTTTTTATGAAACTAAAGATGCTACATACAGATATGTCCTAGCTCTCTTACTTCCTAAAATACAGGGCGAATCTGAAATTATTGCGTTTTTCGATCCCCTTTGTATCATAACTTATCGAAAAGGTGAAAACGGTCTCCCGTACAGTTTTTCACGTAGAATGCAGTGACATAACTCTGACGTCTTTTTTTAAATTGACTAAAACTTATATGTTTTTTTAAATACGATATTTTGTATATTATTTTATTTTCCTTGTTACGAGCTTTCTAAAATACTTATTTTCATAAACGGGGTAAAAATGCATTATTTAACTTTATTACATAGTCGGCCGGTTTAAATTAGGTAATCAAAACAATCAACTGATTTATTCGACGTAAAATGTTGGTTATTGGCA